AAATTTTATGTTAACACCCGAATATATCATAAGCACTTTCTCATGTATGAAAGGTTATAAGAATAGCCAAACGTTGGGCGTGCTGCATTATCAAGAGCCCTAATCACATGGTTTGAGGACTTTATTTAGAATCCAAGGCAGAGAAGAATGATTTTTAAGGTTGTCCTTTTTCCTAACTTTGAGTATCCCAAAACAAAAAAGAATCCTAATACATGTGGTGAGACCTTATTTAAAACAAAAATAAGTCCCCAAACATTGTCCTAAAACTCTAATTTCTAGCTAGGGTCTTCCTTACACGACTCTAACCTGCGGCTAACCTTGAGGGTGTATTCAATTAAGACTTTGGAAGATTTTGATAGACCTTTTTAAGTGATGATTTTTGTAGATTACGTGAATCTTTTATAAATTTGCATGAAATTAGTGGAAGTCTTTTATAAACTTTTATGGACTTTCATTTTGAAATTTTCATAGATTTTTGTAGAATTTAAAAGACTTTTGAAAACTTTCATTTGAAATAGATTTCACGTGGATCTAGTACAATGGTGTGAAATTCTAATATACGAGGTGTTAGTTCTCACAATTCCCAATCCTTCCCCTTCTTCTCATATAATAAAAAAAAAAAAAAAAAAAATTTAAGATCTTAATTAAATAAATAATAATAAAAATTATACATATATGTGATTCAATATTATTATAGTATACTTAAAAATAAATAAAAATCAATATATTTAAATTTAATTATAAAATTTTCATATAAAATTTAATAAAAAATAAATATTTTTTCACCAAAAAATGAGTGAAAAAAGAGCTACATTAATCCAATTTAATTTTTTTTTATAGAAAATAGAAATAAATAATAATAGAGAAAGAAATATAAATGGAAATAAATATATTCAATAAAAAAAGATTTTTTTAATCATAAATGTCCATAGAAATTTAAAGGAAAAAAGAGTGAAAAAAAAAATTGTGAAAGTCTTCTAAAATCTCGTGATTAATGAGATACAAATTTTAAGATTTTATATGCGTACTTTCTACTTAAAAGTTAGAACTCCGGAGACTTTTATAAAAGTATCTAAAAGTCATTAAAATTTGAATATCACGAGACTTATAAAAAATTTTAATTGAATACATCGTAATTTTTACAGACTTTTTAAAAATCTATAAAAATCTCAATTGAATACCCCGTGACTTTTAGAGACTTTTTAAAAGTTTATAAAAGTTTCAATTAAATACACCGTAACTTTTAGAGAGTTTTAAAAAGTCTTAATTGAATTCCCCTAAACTTTTTAAATCCCAAAAAATTATTAAAAATTTCAATTGAATACACCCCCGACAATAACCCAAATTTTACAAGTTAGCAAAGCCTAAAATTAGACACTCTACATTGGGAAAAAGAATATTTTAGAAAAGTTAAAGTAAAGTAAGTTTATATGTGGAAAAGGGTAATATAATGATACAATTCTTGCATCCTACTAAGAGTGAGAATAGATGATCATCATAAGGTCCAAAGGACAATAAATAGTTTCATATATTTTTTTAGTCAACTTTAATAGATGAACCTTTGTACCATATTTTTCAAATCATTTTCATGAAAAAGTTGACCGTTGGTATAAAATCTGTGTCTCACACATGACACAGTTGGTCAACAATTGCGACTTGAAAAGAAATATAACGATAAAAAAATTCATTTTCATGTCCCAAAAAGTTGGCTCAAATAGGAGCTAGGAAAATGTAAATTCTGTACCCCCAAATGACAAGTTCTATCATTTTAGCGGTAAAATGGATGGTTTATTATTATTTATTGGAAATTATTTGGTGGTTTCCAATTTTTTATGATGCTTTCTTTTTCTTTTTTTTCTTTTTTTCTTTTTTATAACTTGTATACATTAAGACATTTAAGACTTAAATATCTATCCATCTCATACTCAAAAACGTTAAAATAACAATAATAAAAAAATAAATCTCACATTCAAATTAGGGGATCCCATCTAACATACCAACTATTGACATTTATAAAATTCATTTAAAAAAAAAAAGTTTCTAGTTCTCTAAACTTCAATATTTCCAAATAAGTTGATATATTTTTTTTTATTTTTTTTTCATTCTATAATATGACATTGAGTTGGAATATATCAATTCACGCTGTGTACAAACTAATTTTGTGAAATTGGACCGAACTAAGCCAGTCGATTGTTTAGAAAATTTTCGTGAAATTAAGAACAGTTGGGGGAAAAAAAAAGACAAGAACTTGCTTGATCATTTAAAACACATATTTTTATTAGATTTACTTGTGTCAAACCATGACCTTTAAGCCTCGACTCTCTACCTTTACTAGATGCCCTTTGTGATTTTTAAAACATTATTATAGAATCTAGACACCAGCTGTCACGGGTCAGGCCTAATGAATGCAAAATTATTACTTTCTACTTCATTTCCCAATTTATATTTCATTAATTATGGTTTTCTTTTCTTAAATGCCATATTGTTATTTTGGATAAGTTTACAATTGGACTCCTCTTAGAAATCAAGATCGCAAATATATAATCTTTGCGTGAATATATAAAATAAGAAGGAAATTTCTTTTCAAAAAGACAGCAAATTATTAAAAAAGTAATCATATCCAAACTGAAAATTGATGACAAATTAATTGAAAACTCTAAAGTAAATCGCGAAGGACACTATGGACATGATTTATATACGATATTTTCTAATTATATGTAAATAGTCTCATCCATTCTTACATAACGAACATGTCCTAAAAGTTGATTTAACGATAGGGATGGCCCCCAAAATTTTGTAACTTGAGGTGACTCATTATTATGAAGCCCTTAAACGTAATTTTTCTTCTAATGTAAAAATAATTAAATATTTAAATAATATATTTATATTTTAAACGAAAACTTGAACCAAATAAATATTTGTTTGAAGATCGAGAATTATCCTACCAAAATTCGACTCATTTTGAAACTCGTAATAAATGACACATTATGGTTCGAGAAAAAGTTAATTTGCATAAACTAAATTGTAGTTATAATTCATTAAAGTAAAGTACTTAACGAGTAATTTTACTTTCCAAATTAAACTATATTATCTTAACAATATTGGGCTCATTCGATAGCTCATAATTAACTATGTATATTAAACTAAAAAAAAAAAGCTCAAATTAAGTTATAATGGATAAAAAAAATAAAAAATTATAGTTAAGTGAATTTTTAATTAGTTCATCTCTTAGTTGGGCCATGTAATTTCTTCCATTTTGAGGCCCCCATAGAATTAGAGACCCTAGGCCACTGCTTAGTTTGCTTTGGCCTGGGGCCGGCCCGGTTCACTGACCAGTAACAAGAATCTTGATGACACGTTAGCCTATGAGTAGATATTTTTTCTCGGAAACCGGACCGAAATCGTGAACCGATCGGTTCGATTCCAGATCTTTTAAAAAATAATTTAATTTTGGGATAAAATATTAAGAACCGACCGGTTTTGATTCGGCACTTGGTTCTAGTACAGGAACCGTTGAGAACCGAACGGTTCTCGTATGATTTTTTATTTTTTGGTAAAATATATGACTCAATCTCCAATCACTTTTATAAAAAATAATCGAGTTCCTTCTTTATTTTAGACTCACTTTTCTTCTTTTCTTTGATTTTTTCATTTTCTCTTCTTATAATTCTTTGATTAATTAATTTCTCAAGCCAAATTAGAATATGGGGTAAATATATATCTAAATAAATTTATTTACAATATATAATTTCATTTCTAAGATACGAAATTTTTATTTAGTTTTTACTTTGGTTACATAGTTGTTGATCTGATCGAAACACTTCATCTAAATTTCTATAAATTATAATCGACAAAAGTTGCAATAAATTTTTAAATGGTATCCAATTCAATGTAGAGTTTTGATTTTGATGGAAGGTTGTTTAATCATTGCAGTACTGTGCATGTTTATATAAGTTGATGATTGCTTGATGATAATAACTTATATTATTTGGATATTGTTTTTAAATTTGTATACTTAGCTTTCTTTTAATTTTTGAATAATATGCCCCCATTTGACCCTCATTAATTTTCATTCCATTACATTTCATTTTTTTCTTTTCTATTTTCAACCACATAATCTTCCATAAAATAATATTATACATAAATTGAAAACTTTTCATTCCTTTTCAATCACTCATTTTTCAAAAAAACATTATTCCACCAATTATTTTTTCTACAAAATGGGGGACAAACGTGGGATATGTTTGGTTCTCTTATATTTTGTTAAAAGTATTATATTGGTAGATTTTTAGATTTTTTTTATTAGTGAACATTTTATTTTGACATTTTCAATGTAAAAAGCCAGACTTGACCAAATCGAAACCAATTGGTTTGGTTCCATTTCTAAAATTTCTATTGGTAACCGCACCCACTCCTACGTTAGCCTATATTTATTACCTAGATATTAATACTTAGTGCTTGTTTGTCCAACTTATATATAAAAGTCAATAATTAATTTTAACCATATATTTTATATGATCCACAATTTTTCAAGTTTTCAATAAGATATCTTATCAACTTTATTAAAATTTATTAAAAACTTTGTCAAACCACCCTCAATTAGAGCTAAGTGAGTACAAATTAATATATAACTAAATAAAAGAAACAATAACTTAAGGGCGAAGGGGTGGGTTCAAGGGTGAAATTTTATAGCTTTTTAAGACGTTAAAAAAGAAATATAAAAGTTCTGTAATTTATAATATGTCTCACGTGTTCTAAAAAAGTGTAAATAATAATTTGTGATTAAAACAGTATTTCTGTTATTAAAATAAATAAATAAATAATAAAAAGAGGAAGAAGAATAAGTACTTTTGAAAATAGTTTGGTTTTTTGAGTTAGATTTGAAAATAGTTTATTGGTCTTCTGTGGTCCGATTTACTTATGGTTAAAGGGCCAGTACCCGGGTCTTGAGCCTACCAATTTGGATGCTCCATTTCAACCCACTTGAAGTCTGAAGCTTCTACAGAAGTGTCTTCAAGATAGATTCACAAACCCTGACGTTCAGATCAAAAATCAACCCCCGAAAATGGTGATATATTCCATACCCGTTTTCACTTATCCCTTAAATCATCTAATTTACTCTACAATTTTCCTCTTTGCCCTGTTTTCAGCTCCCCATTTCTCACTTTCACTCTCTAACAAACCCTATTTTGCTCCAAACCTTGTTCTGATTGGTGACGCCAAGTTTACAAATAACAGCTTTTCTATTCAGCTTACTGACCCTAAAAACTCATCTTCAAGCTCTGGATTTGTGATTCAGAAAAAACCCATCAAAATTCTCAACTCCAATTCGAGGCCCATAAGACCAATATCATTTTCCACTGACTTCACGTTCTCAATTTCACCTCATAACGGGGATGGGCTGGCTTTTTTACTCGTGTCCAGGAAGTTTATTCCGAAATTTTCAAAACAAAGTTTTGGGGTTTCGAAAGGAAGTCCGTTTTTTGCGGTGGAGTATGACACGTTTTTTGATGAGAATCTGGGGGATGTGAATTCGAATCATGTGGGAATCGACGTGAGCAGTCTTGTTTCTGTGAAAACTAGCAATGTTTCGTCGTTAAATTTGGTTTTGAATAGTGGGATGAAGCTACATTCGTGGATAGATTATGATTCGAGCTCAAAACAATTGGAGGTTAGGTTGAGTAAGTTTGGTCTTGCCAGGCCCTACAACCCACTGTTAGTGCATCGAATTGATTTGGGTGAAATGTGGAGAAATGGAGAAGTGTTCGTGGGATTGAGTTCATCTAGTGGAAAATCAATGCAGATAAGTAATGTATATTCCTGGAAATTTAAAACAAGAAGTGTTCCAAAGTGGCTACATTCACAACCAGTGGATCCTCGGGTATTTTCTAATGTACATGGTGAGGAGAAAGGAGAGAATAAGAGATGGGTCTGTATTCTGGGATTTCTTTCTGGTTTGATCATGATGATTGGGTTTGGAGCCTTGATAGCAGTTGTTATAATGTTCTTGTGGGAAATATTTGAAAATAGGCGGGAGACAATTGTGACAATCGCAGAAAAGTGCATGGCGCAGCCAGGTGATTTCAAGTACCAAAAGATCGATGTAGTTATAAATGATAACTCTGTTGATGTTAAGCTTTAGAAGTTAGTGTGATTGTGGTTTAATTGTGTTTTTTATGCTTTGTACTGTAATGTAATGGGCAAGTTATATAGTTTCTTTTGCCCAGGATGATGAATGGAAGCCAGATGTTTCTGTTGATGAACATGAATGTTAAGTTTTAGTGTTTCAGTTCATGTTCTTTGATTTTGCTAATTCTAGGACTGCCAAGTTCAAATGCAAACCGTTTTTTGTGATTGTGTTTTAGTTTAAAGTCAGTATTTTTTTTTCTCAAGAATGTAAAATTGTGTGTTTTCATAGAAATAATGACTAGTTTTTCTGATTTTGTCTGGATTTCGTGTTTAATTTCATGATATTCTATGAAGTGTTTGTTGGCTAATTATTGCACCTGGTAGAATATTGATCATAAATATAACCTTATGATACCGAATCGTTGCCTTAAGAGGGGGGATTCATAAGCTCTATATAAGCATTTAAAGATGTTTGTCAATTGATGAAGCTCTATTTCTACTGCTGCTAGAATATTAGCATCTTTGTTTCTTCAATGCATTCACATTCCATTCTCTCTGTACGGATAAACAGTCTGACCACCTCGTTTGCCATTGCTCTTTACATGCTGGGATGTTTTGTATCCTTTTTATTTAAAAGCATCACAAGTTTTTAGTAATCACTGCTTGCAGCTGAGTCATAACTGTGGAAAGTCCTCGATTTGAACTTGTTTTTTCTACTATAATTATGCCATCACACTCAACTTTGAACTGTTATTATTTGCCATGTTGTATTGTAGGTTTTCATGATTCGTGGCATTCGGCATGCTAATATTACAGTTGAAATATGGACGGTATACTTGATTTCGTTAAGAATGGGATATAATGGGAGAGAAGCGATTTCTTTATGAAAGTTATCTTGTCAGACTATTTCCTATACAAGGAAATTAGATATAATGAATTGTGTCAGCTAATTGATATTTAGATGCCATCAACAGAAAATGATAACATTCCGGTTCTAAACTCAAAAAGACGTAACTAGTCAATATGCTATAAAATATAACTTGTCTATCAGTCACAGGAAAAGAGGATGATAAACAAATTCACATAAAAAATGGAATCGCTTTTTGTGTTTAATTCCATTCTCCAGGATGGTCTCTTTCTGCAGTACAACAACCGATGACTTTTAAAATCCGCTATCATTCGGCTGATCTGATACAACAGAAGAAAAGTTATCAGCACAAGTCATTACTAGAAAATGGATTCTTGCAAAGCGTTAATAGAACAGAGTTTGAGCAACAAGTCAATGGTATAGCCTATTAGGTGATAAGGGTTAAAAATTGAATCCAGTTGAGGAACTGTTTTCCATTTTTTTGCCCCTGCTGCTGCTAAGTTAACGGCTAGGAACGACCTAAACGATTAGATTTTTGAGATTAAATAGAGCTATTCTCAAGTATTACTACTCATCATTGAGGTAAAAATTAGCTATCAAGGGGTAGCAATTCTTCATCTCTCTACCGTTTACTAAGTTTTTTCTTTCGAGTCTACAAGACAATCGGAAATGGACAGTCAATTGATTGCTCAAAACTGAGGGCAGATATTATTATGCCTTCCCAGGTAAATCTCATGGAGTCCTCGACTTCCCGCACTCCCCTTCGTTTTCACATCTTAAAAACCGACCCCATTACCAAGCTGCTATATTATTGACCATTTTTGTTTCTTGCTCTCATTTATTATTATTATTATTATTTATTTATTTTTATTTTGTGGACGAAACGTTGATAAATACAATTGAAAAGCCAAATTTCCAGTTCGCTATCTTTGAAGTTGTGCTTCTCAAACCACACTTTTATAAGCGGAAATGCGTTTTTATCCCACTTGCACAGTCTGGATAGTTGGCATTCATACATTGGATGATACTTAGTCACACTAGTTGTGCTTCTTTTGGATTGCTATGGACCGTTGATCCTATCTAACAATTGAGATTTGGTCTTTCAACATTATTGGTTTTAGAGACTTCTTCGAGACTCTTAACAGCTCATTCAGTCATTTTTTGGTCTTGAAGTCTCTTGAGTTTTCTCTCTCTTCTACCATCATTTCTTCTTCTTCTTCTTCTACTTCGATCTATTGATTGATAGTGAATTTGTATTGATATTCTAGTGTATCTGATGATGGTAGAACATGCAATGCAGTGTTTTAGGCCTGATTTGTGGCTGGTAAATCTGTACTAAGTTCTTGGCAAGGACTTGTCTAGTCGTTGTAGGCTAGGGTTTGTGTTTTTGTGAGATCATTGTGGATCGATGACCATATGTGTGGCTAATTTGGTTTACTCATTTTCGTCGTACATTCTCTCTTGAAGGTTTCTTGCATAGTGACGGGCTTACTTTTGAGTCCCTAGATTAGGTCGTGTTTGTTTGAACTGGGTAAACAATCATTGTGTTTGATTATTTTCTTCATCATCTTTTATTATTTTTCAGTTATTTGTGGTTTTTGGGTCAATATACCTAACAAATCTGATATCAGAGCTGATTCTTGAGGCGTCTGGGTTTAAAATCCTTGCTATGAAGATAAACGATTTGAGGTGTTCTTAATTTCTTGAGTGATTCCGATTTTTCTGAAGTTTGTTTTTCATTTCTTTAACCCTTTTACATTGCATACTGTTCGGATCTGAATAGACTCGAACAGGTGGTCAAAGTTTCTGACATTTTTCTTTTAAGTGTGAAGGTAAAATAATCCCTTGATTTGTTTCTTGGCTATTTCTAAGGGATAGTACCCGACAGGTGATAGGGAGTTTCTTAGAATCTTTGAACAGCTTTGTTGTTCAACAGAGCTGGGTGAGACCTCCCTTAACTATCACTGGATAAATTGGTTTATATATTTACATGCTCATTGATTTGTTGATTAATTGCTGAAAACTGAGTACTCTATATTATTAATCAATTTGAAATAGGAGGATGTGTAGAATTTGTTATTCATAGCCTCGTTATAATTGTTATGTAACCCTGTATTAACAACATCCTTATTGCCTAAGACATTGTCTTTGCCTGTGCATGATAGAATGGTGATTTTCATTTTGTCATCAGCCTTTCCTTAAACTGTTAATAACCTATTCTGCACTTGAGTGACTATACATTGGAATATCACTCATGTCCACCAGTAGTAATCACTCTTTTACAGAACCTATGTTCGAACGAATTGTCACAATTCAACGGAAAGGGGGATTACTCAATCAAGAAGCAGAAAATGAGAGTCATATTGGTCTAACAATGGGTTGCTAAAGCCCTGGATGACTCTCATACATATTCTGCCGAACTTAAATTTAAGCTTGATGATATTCTTGAAATGAATGGGATTGCTTACAGTTCAATTATCTTGCATTTATCAGACAATGTAGTAAGACAAGTAGAGGATTCTAAAACTGCTAGGGACTTATGGACAGCCTTAGACAACTTGTTCTTGACCAAGACTTTACCAAATAAAATTTACCTTCTAGAAAAACTGTTTAGTTTTAAAATGGATGACCAGAAAGACCTAGAAGCCAATTTGAGTGATTTTAGCATACTGGTAAAGAGTCTTGCTCATAATGACAAAAAATTTGAAGATGAAGATCTTGCAGTGATCCTTCTAAACTTTTTACCTGATTCTAATAAGGATATCAGTAATACTATAAAATACTAAAGAGATGCCTTAACACAAACAATCATAACAAATGCCCTAAGCTCTAGGGAATTGGAAGTTAAGAAAAAATCAAGACCTAAATCAAGAGAGGAAAGTTTATTTGTGAGAGGAGAACTAAAAAAAGGGAGAATCATTCACAGAATAAAATATTCAAATCTAAATCCAAAGCAAGATCTAAATCAAGAGAAAAAAGTAACAAAAAATGCTATCACTGTGGAAAACTTGGACATTTCAAAAGAGATTACTTTGAATTAAAGAAGAAGCTGAAAGAACACAGCAACATTGAGTTGAACAATGCTACTGTGTGTTCTGATCTTGACAACTTTCTTGTAATGACTGTGAAAAATGAAGAAATAGACACTGATTGGATACTAAACTCTGAATGTACTTTTCACATGTGTACAAATAAATCTTGGTTTCATGATTACAAGGAGATAGAACCCAGAAAAGTATATATGTGTGATAATAATTCACAAAATGTTCTTGGAATAGGTGACATTGCAATCAAAATGTACGATGGCATTGTCAGATATATTAAGAATGTGAGACATGTTCCAAATCTAAAAAGAAACCTCATTTTGTTGAGAATTCTTGAAAATGGGGGACATACATTCAAATATGAAAACAACAATTTGAAAGTCATGAAAGGATCTCTTTAGTTATGAAGGGACCAAAAACGAATGGTCTATACTACTTAATGAGAGAAACTGTTAATTCCCAGGACTCAAAATCTTTAATTGTAACTGAAAGTAAATCTAAATTATGGCATTGTAGGATGAGTCATATTGGTAATAAAGGCCTAAAGTATCTTAATGATCAGAATTGTTTGGAAAGGATAAAGTAAAGGGCCTAAAGTATTTTAATGATCAGAGATTGTTTGGAAAGGATAAAGTAGAGTCCTTTAACTTTTGTGAAACTTGTGTGCTAGAGAAGTCTCATAGGGTAAGTTTTGAGACAGGGTCCCACACTACAAATAGACCACTAGACTATGTCCATACATACTTATGGGGGGCTAGAAAACCACCCAACTTTTGGTGGGAATAAATTTTTTCTTTATATAATTTAAGATTGTTCTAGAAAGGTCTGGACCTACCATTTGAAATCCAAAACTGAAACTTTTCAAAAATTCATATTGTTGTTAAAGATGGTTGAGAACCAATTAGACAATAAATTGAAAACCTTAAGGACAAATAATGGGCTGGGATTCTGTAACACTAAATTTGATAAATTTTGCAAGCAAAAAGGAATAATTAGATATAGAACCGTTAAGCATACACCCCAACAGAATGGGGTTGTTGAGAGAATGAATAGAACTCTCATGAATAAGGTAATGATAATAGCACAATTTGTCATATTTTCATCCATTTATACTTGCATTTGCATGATATATTAATGCCTAAATGCATTAAGTACCTTTGTATTTTGATTTAGGTTACAAATGGATGAATACGATGGAGTCTAGAAGAAAAGAGCGAAAAAAGACTAAAATGGAAGAAAGTGACAGTTCAAGGACCAAGTTGCAAATAATTCAAAGAGGAGAAGGGTGATGGAATGATGATTTCAAAAAGCTA